ATATTAGAGAATTTACGGTAGTAAAACAGGTAAGTGCTAAATTAAAATACATGGAGAGCAAGAGAGATAAAAAGTAAAAGAAAAGATAAAATAATCAAAGACAATAAAAAAAAAGGGGGGGAAGAGTTCAATTAAAAGCTCTCCTAAAAAGGTGGGTTTTAAGGCCACGTTTAAAAGCATCCACAGTCTGTGGGGTCCTCAGGTGGCAAGGGAGAGCGTTCCACAGCCTGCGAGCAGCTGAAAAAAAAGCCTAATGCGAGTCCATTTTAACACCCAGGTTAGTGGCAGATGTTGAAAGGGGAAGAGTTTGTCCAGAGAAGCTGATTCTGGTCATGTCATATGAACAAACCTGGTGCCGACTAAAATGGCTTCTTGGAGCTGTTTAACTGAAGGAAGTTGTGCTTCAACCAAACCTTTACCTCCTCCAGGCAGGTGGTCAAAGTTGATGGTGGCAGAGGAGCAGAGGATGTTGGGTTTGTCCTGAGGTACAGTTGAGTGTCATCAGCATAGCAGTGGAATGAAACCCCATGGTGAGTGATGACATGGCCAAGAGGGAGTACAGATTAAACAAGGTGGGACCGAGCACTGAGCCTTGAGGGACACCACAGGTGACCTTGTGAGCCAATGATTTAGCCTTTCCCAAGGTGACATACTCAGTTCTTCCAGTGAGGTATGATGAAAACCATTGATAGACAGACTCAGAGACTTGTTGCAGTCAAGTCCAGGAGGATAAGAAGAGATGGGGAGCCAGCGTCTGCTGTCCTCAACAGGCCATTTGTGACCCTGACCAGGGCTGTTTCTGTGCTCTGGCCCTTGCGGAAACCTTACTGGAATTTTTTCAACAGGTCATTTTGTTTTAGAATGTCCTGAAGCTGAGCAGAAACTACGTTTTTCAGCACCTTTGAAATGAACGGAAGATTGGAGATAGGCCTGTAGTTGGCAAAGACTCCTGGGTCAAGGGTGGGTTTTTGAGAATTGGCCTAATTTTTTGTATGTATATGTATGTGTATATATATATATATATATATATATATATATATATATATATATATATATATATATATATATATNTATATATATATATATATATATATATATTTATTGCTAAACATTTAGATTTTTGATGCCTTCATTTTTATTTTCATAATATAACTATCCTTTGCTCTAAAGTGTAAATAACAATTGTATTTATTATCCAAGAAACTCACTTAATGTAATTAATTAAAGACTATAATTGGTTTGGTTAAACATTTTGCGTACGTACCTTACAACTCCCTTTAATACAGAGATCAGACTCATATGGTCCACAGGGAGTCCCATCAATAACTTTATCGGCCATCAGGACCGGGACGCTATGATCCACAGGGCTGCAGAACAACATACATGGCTTATCTGCTCATCCACACACACAGACACACACACAGCCCAAATTCAGAGGGAGAAATCAAAGATCATCAAGCAATCAAGGTGTTAAACTACCATTCTATGAATGAATATTGAAATAAAACATGAGAATATTAATAAATGAAAACTAACAGACAGTAATCAAACCTGACTGTATGTGTGCTCAGAAAAAATAAACATTCAGGAGGCCACTTTTAATTGTAACATCTATGGGAGTCACATCTATCATGTTTAGGGACCACAGCCTAGAGGACAAAGGCGTTTTTGCCTATTTTCGGGGTGCTGAAGCAACCCGAATTTGAATCAAATCCTAAAAGATTAGTTGTTTTTTTAATACTGTGTGCTCTTTTTACAATAAAACACAAACAAAACAAAAAACTTGTAAAAGATAAACAGTATTTTTTTATTTAGTAACTAAGTAAGTAATGTATTTATATAGCACCTTTCACAGACATAGAGGTCACAAAGTGCTTCACAAAATTAAAATACATTTACAGTCACAAAAGACACGGTCATAAAACAACCCTTAATCTACTGGAATTAAAATGCATTCTTAAACAACTAGGTTTTCATTTCACTCTTAAAAGCATCAAGAGAATCAAGTAACTGCAAGAAAAGTGGGAGATCGTTCCAGAGCGTCGGGGCGAACGCCTGAAAGGAGCGATCTCCGCTGGTCCTGTAACGAGTATGAGGGACCATGAACTGGTTCAGGTCCTGAGACCTCAGCCTCCAAGAGGGGGTATAAGGACGCAACAAGTCTCTAATGTAGGAGGGAGCCTGACTGAGGAAGGCCCTGAAGGTCAGCACCAGGATTTTAAAATGGAACCGAAAAGAGACTAGAAGCCAGTAAAGAGTTTTTAGAATCGGCGTGATATGAGCCCTGCTGTTTGTAGGAGTCAGTAACCTCGCTGCAGAGTTCTGAACTGTTCTGGACCACCTGTCCCCGGCTATAGCTGTCCCCAGAAATGTCCCCGATTTTACTGTTTTATGAATGAGGGGGAAAATGTCGCATTTAAACTGTTATTATGGTACAAAGAGCACACTGTGCACAGAAACAGCTGTTAACGTATAGCTGAGGAACAAAGTGCACCAGTTTTGAAACAGACGACGAAGTTCGTTATCACAGACGACGAATTTCGTTATCACAGCCGGCTGGACGCAGCTACACTGTTACCCTTAAACCCCACATCCTCTGTCACCGCCTCAAAACAAACATCCTATCAAAATAATAACAGCGTATTTAAAACAAAAAGCACAGCTGTATCTATGAACAGATGAATAGAAAATAGGTTTATGATTGTGAAAATATATCCCTATTAGGCTTCCTTATAACTTTATTAAAGAACACATTATTTTTATGCTCTGAGAGCTTATATTTAATCCATTTATACGTGTAATGGCTGTACTGTTGTATTTTGAATGATCCAGATTTATGGATGAGTTTTAATGGTTGTAATTTAATCTGAATATAAAAATCTAACGTAACTTTTTTAATAATGACACAGATTTTAATCCCGGCTGCTGGAGGCGACCCAATGCACTGCAGCTGTCCAGGATACAGCATAAACAACTGGAGGCCATTTCATTTTATAGTTACCATGTAAAAAAAAAAACCAATCTGTTTTTCAATTTGTATATATATAAAAAAGTTATTTTTTTGGAATGGAAAAAGAAGAAAATTCCCACAGACTGTATTGAGGCAAACTGGCCTGTCCCTGAACACAATGTTATGTTGCTCACAATGGAAGATGACAGAGAAGACTGAATGACCAGATGGCACTAATAAACACTATTGATTGATTAATATTATCTATCTTAGGAAATTGAAGAGGTACATTCCTGGATTTCATGTTTGATTTTTGTTTAAATATTAATAAATATGTAAAAATGGATGAAAGCATCACTGTCCCCGTTTTACTATTTAGATTTTATTTAAATGCATTTATTCTTATCTATGAGCTGGAAAAGTCCCCAAAATTAGATTGCAGAAATCTGGTCACCTTATGAATGGAGGATCAGTGAGGTTTACCCAGGCAGAAAACAGCGGAGCTGGGGAGAGACGGCATCCATCTGCTCTGGAGGTAGGACGACGAAACAGTCTTTCTAGGGCTAAATTAAATATGGCTTTTTTAAAAGCCCCCTTAAATCCTCTCTAGAGCATTCCTACTTCATCATTTGTCAGCATTATTTTCTTCATATTCCACTTTTGATTTAAAAAAAATCTTGCCTTCGCTGCGCTCCTTCACAGTAGCTCAAAGCCACATCTAGTCCCTGACTGGATTTCACAACACGAAAGTGAACAAAAGTTCAGATTCTTCGACTTCATTCACAGGCAAAGCGGTGATCAAATGTCGCCAATTTTGCGCAAAATCATTCACTTTCACTTTGTTTCGCTCAGGATCCACCCTCTACAAAGAAATAAGAAGAGAACCCTTGGCTCCAGCTGTGAAATTCATGCTTGGTGTGAACGTACCTTTA